GAGAAGAACCGGGGAATAACTCTAGTTATTCCCCGGGGAATAACTCTAGTTATTCCCGGGTTCTTCTCAGAACCACACATACTCAAAGAAGAGGGGAATAACTACAGTTATTCCCGGGTTCTTCTCAGAACCACACATACTCAAAGAAGAGATAAATACATGGTGTTACCGCAATCTTTACTATAGATTATTCAAATTGCTGTATTGAATAGGAATGTAGCCTGTCTTCATGCCGTGGTTTATGGTTAGCCAATATGCGTGCAGTAGTTGGTAGTGTACATGTACGTACATACATGATGTATGATGATGTATGTGTCTGACTTCCTTTTGTTCTTTAGTTATGTGTGCGGGTAATGATTAATATGCAAATGAGTTATTTGTTGTGGCCACAGCGCCAATCTGCCTTCCTCTGAGCTTCATACATGTACAGGTGTATGTACATGTACATCCATGTAGTTGATGCACCATATCACAGTCTTGTGTTTGTGTGACAAATGAAAGAGATTTGTGAATGAATAATGGTTGGAAACTGAAGATGAGAGGCATGCTGAAATGTATTCCAGAATGTTTCTTACTAATAGTAACGTGATGCTGTGATAAAATAGGTAAGAAATCGCAAGATGATAAATTTGGTACTCAATTTATTGCTGTTTTTATCAAGACTTTATTTACAGCAGATTGTCATTCTGAATCAGAGCTGATATCATTTTGAGTGACTTATACCATGGAGGATGCTTATAATCAAACTTGAATCATGAAGAACTGTCCATGTTATAACTCTCACTGTGACTATCTATTGGACTCGTACAAAGTACTTGGTTGCTGACTTGTCATTTGTGATATGAAAAAAAAATTATTTTCTTTAAAAACCTATTTCTTTTTCTACTTATCTTAGCACTTTTTAAAGTTTGTCTTGTATATTTATTAAAAGTGCAATGTGAATTAGAAATAGGATGCCTGTGTCATTGTCAGTGATTTTCAACCTAGACTTGTGATTTTACTCAACTTTAGTTAACTTTAACATAAACGTACCTGAATTTTGATCAATGCACATTAGTACTGTGCAGTATAAATGTATCACTATGTAATAAAATTGTTCGGACCAAACAGTTACGAGTGGTCAGACACATTTTGTTGAGAATATTTTTTTTCCTTTAGTTAACTGGATTTGTAGAGGAATATGGGTAATGTTATGTAGATTATCTTTTAGTATGCTCTTGTGGCTTCTTACATTCATGGAATGTGCTGGCAATCTGTCAACATATGTAATGACACAGAAGTGTGCATGCATTACACAACGGACAACGTGTTATCAAACAATGTTATGCATGTAATTTGGATGAGTTTCTTTTCCATGCTACCTTGAGCCAGACATATTTTTATTTAACACTTGACATGCTTTGAAAATTGATATTTTTAATGTAATTTTTTTTCAGTTAACCTGTTTGTCTGATTTGTTATTGATTGGTACCATGAGTGGGTTGTTTTCCTAACATTTCCCACATCATGAAATGTATTCCCTTTTTTCCTAAATTGATTGAGTACTTCAGCATATTTCCATGTACATTGCCCATGGTTGAATAATAAGATGTGCAAGCTTGTTAGCTGCCACATGGGAAGAACTGACCCCACTTGCAACCTTGAAGTGATAAGTGACATGTCTTGTTTGTTCTTGTTGTAAACATGCAGTCTGACCTCCAATTACCTGAGTGTCAGCTGATTGATGGACTTGTTTTGGTATTCTCTCAATCCTCAGGACAGATGGCATACTTTATAGCAGCTCTTGTGAATAGCAGGTACATCTATAGCAACAGCATTCTCTGGAAATGGTGATTGGTAAGTAAACTCGAACTTAACTTGCTTGGCTGTTCCTGCTTGGAACCTTTCTAAGTTCTCCAAAATTCACCACAGAAAGAAATTGATGTTTCTTTCTTACTTTGCTTCTCTTGAACTTACCCCCCTCCTTCCTTCATGAACTTACAAAGGGCACTGAGTCCCACATACATTAAATTAAGGCACGGTTAATAGGGCTTTATTCTCCTCTGTGGTGCAGAACCTTCCAATGGATTTAGAAATTTTTAGAGTGCTAGAATTGTTAGTATTACAGTCCAATATGCAGACTATTAGTCAGTATGATCTGCCTTTTTCAAATGTACCGGTACATAGACGTTATTAATTTTGCCATCCAACATACCTCATGGAGCTCAGGAGAACTAATAAGTAGATAATAAATGGGTTGCTTACACCAACAGTGGAATGATTTTCTAAGTGGGAGAGGGGGGGAGAGGTTATTAGACGATTAGGTATCAGCCATTTATAGCTCGATCCATTGAGCCCCAAACAATTATAATTGGACCTGCAAAAAGTGGGAGGGGGGAAGGCCTCCCCAAGTGGGGGGGGTTACTGTCTCCCCTTCCGCCGCCAGTAGTTGCGTAATACAGTTGTTTGTGTTTTCCATGATGGGAATACTTATGTCTTGAATATTTTATTAACCAAAATACAGTCGTCGTAGCACAGCAGTATGCTTTGTGAATGCAAGTGTTTGTGACCTAAGGGTCAAGCTAATTTAGAACCATGGATTTGATCAGCAGGTGTAACAGCTGGCCATTTGTGGTCAGTTGCTCATACTCAAAAGCTATTTTTTTGCCATGTAGAAAGATTCTGCTAGGATTGAAATGTCAGGCCATCCTGCTTGTGTGATTTGTATTTTAGGTCACTGCAGCCAGAAAACAGTTGGCAGCAGTTTGTATTACAAGCTAAGACACTTTATTAAACACTGCACTGTTTGTGAGATTTATCAAGTCATACCGGACATAAAGGTACAGTTTTTGTACATCGTACACTGTACAGTCAAATCTGTATTGTCAGTCAAATCTGTACCTGCAAAGGTTGGGCAAAAGAAGTAGTCGGTTTCATTGCAAAGCCTTCAGTGTATGCTTTTTACTAGCGGTTGTGTTCATTTGTGATTGCACGGTTTAGGCACAACTTAAAATTGATGTTGTGAATTGGATGGAAACAGGGAAATACCCCCAGCTCCCCTTTTGGTTTTCAAGAGTGTGACCTTTTCATAATAGGGCAGCTAGGGTTACACCTCTGAGGGGCACCCAGCGGTGCTTACAATTTTTTCAAGGGGGTTCTAATAGCTAATAATGCTTGTACTTTTTGTGTGCAAAATTTCAAAAGGGAGATCGGTACCAGGGGGCAAGAACTTTTGCTGGGGGGGGGCCACATGCCCACACCTAGACATACATGTACGTGTATAGCATGCAATGCACATTGTAAACTTAGTGAGAGGTCATTCATCACAACAAAGGGAGAGGTGCTACCGCCGTACCAGTATTTGATCAAATGATTTGAACTGGCAGTTCTTTTCAGAATCCTAGACAAGCTTGTGTATAGATGTGTTCAGTGTAATGGCAGTAATATACCCTGCCTACAAAGTGCTTATTCATCCTGTGATACGAATGCAGTACAGAATGCATTGATACACATGGACATGCCTAGATGACTGTGTATAAATATTACTGACTGCCTGTTACCTACAGGTACAGCTAATCAGTAACCATACATGTGCATGTACAGTGTGTGACTTGAGATCCAGTGTGAGATGCACGATTGTTAAAAATCATGAATTCGTTTTTAATAAGAATTCAGATTTTTGCAGTTTGAATCAGATATATTTTTCATTTAAATTGATTTGTTTTTGTACTTGAATCTTTGTATGAGGGGCCAAAAGTTTTTCATCAGTCGCTGACTATCACCGGTACATTTTCTTTCAAAAGATAACATCATGAAAAATAATCATATATCGATCGTGGTGGAAGTTCATGTTTCTGTTTGACATCCCTCCTGTTGTTTGCCCAGAGGACCTGAAATCGATACACATGTTCTTTCCTGTCTCTGAAATTAAATGACATTGTACATTGAACTAGAACGCTGTAATGATATTGCAACTGGAGAGCTGGAAATGCACTGTGTACATTGAACTAGAACGCTGTAATGATATTGCAACTGGAGAGCTGGAAATGCACTGTGTACGGGACTGACAGATTGCCCTTCTTCCAAAGTTATCACATGCTTACTTTGTTTTGACATAGGAAGAGGGCATATTAAGGATCTCCACAGTTTGAAGGAAAAGGGAAAGATTTTGCCCTTACTGTCTGGTATGGTAGGACATACTGTACATGTGTAATAAATGTTTCACTTGTATTCTTCTCTCTGTTTTCTTTTACAGATGAGGCACTTAAGTTCCAGTGATTAAGACTTCTACAGAAAAAAGTTCAGCCAGCAAATGTCTGGACAATTTGTACTTCTACTGATAAAGCAGAGAGAAGTCATGGCTCCCCATCACCTGTATCTTGCGGTCGTCTGTGTCTGCCTGTGTTGGTTCCATGTCCAAGGTACCTCATCAACACAAGCCAGTGTTGTCCCTTACAACAAAATGGTCAGCACCACATCCCCAATAATTGATCGTATTATCGATGGTTCTGTGGGGAAAGACAGCACAGCTGAGCCAGAACCGGAACCCGAAACTGAACCAGAACCAGAGGCAGAACCAAGTGCAGAACCAGAGCCCACAGATATACCAGAGCTTCCTCCATTTGCAGAGCCTGTACCAGACTGGGACGAAGCCCTTCCAATGTATGGTATCTTCTGGATCATCCACATTTACATTCTGGGATCCCTGTTTGCCTTGCTGGCATTGTATTCATTTGTGAGTCTCATCCGCCTCCGGAGCAGACGTCTGCTCAGTCGGGGCTACTTTGTGGCTCTCAATATCATGATGTTGATCATGGGGCTGGACCGTGCTATCTACCTCTTTGTGGATGCCTATAATCACAAGAGTATATTTCCACTGCCAGTAGCCTACATGCTTCTTGGTATGGGCTTTCCGTGCCTGTCATCAGCTTTTAGCATCCTGTTCTTGGCTCTGCTGCACTCTACTAGGACTCGGCTTGTCTCACCCAAGATTCAGCGGGCCAAGGTCTTGGCATCCATCATCATATTCCACTTTACCGTTTCCATTGTGGTAGATGTCACCGTGGGCCTCTTCACCAAGGCTCAGGTTCTCCTGCTTTTGTGCCAGGGAGTTTTCCTCATCTGGGGTCTCTTCTTGTCAATCAGTTACCTGGTCATATTCCGTAGGCTTCATAAATCGTCTGTGAGACAGTTCCGAGAGCTCAGCCGACTGAGCATGAGCCGGCGCACCTCAACCCTGTATGGAATATCACCGTTTGTTAAGAAGCCTCGAAACAACTGGGGCAGCGCTATCAAAGTAACACTTTTCACATCATTTTTTGGTGTCGCTATTGGACTCTTACAGCTGTATGGTATCCTAGTGGTGTATGGTCCATTAGGAGAGAAAGTCCCAGAGCCCTGGTCCTGGGTGTGGTACCAGCTGGCTTTCCGTATCTGTGAGTTGGTGATGTGTATCCTGATGAGTTACGTAGCCACACAGCCGTTCCGCTACACTGTCAATGGTACCGAGATACCGATGTGCATGTGTTGCACCAATATTTGCGAGACCATCAGAGGCAAGAAAAGTCACAGCCTGCAGGAGGCAGATTCTTACAGATTGGTCAGTGGCGATGCTTCCCTCCCTGCCACTGATTTTGGTAAGGGACTTGAGGATGGGATGTTATTTGATCCACAGAAACCTCAGCACTTCCACACCAGTGCTAACCTGCAGTTGCCTGTCTCCAACACGTTCCACCAGGAGCCAACACAGGAACCTGTCAAGAAATCCACTTTTAGCAATCAAGTGCCAGAGTATGAGATCGTGGAGACAAATGGAACTGTGGCAGACAACAACAAAAAGAACCTTTTAAAACTTGAGATGGCCAACATTCCATCATCGCTGAACAATTCAAACAAGCCGGCATCAGCACCAGTATCAATTGAAGACAATTTGTGGAATGACAGTACATGTAGTTCTCCCATAATCAAAACCAATCGCAGCTTCAGTGACATCAAGACTTATAACCACAACAAGAATAATCCTCACTCCTGTCCGTCCACGCCGATCCGGGGGCAAGGTGACTCTGCAGAGATCCAGCTCTCTGGTTTGAACCACTCCTTATCCAAATTACATAATCAGTCAACAGACGAGGAGGGACCTGGTCAGCAAACTACTGATGAGAACTCACCTTTGGCCTCCAGAGGAAAAGGAGTTGATTTGGAGGCTGGAGAAAGAACTGGAAGTGGCTCCTCACATGATGTTCCTACAGAGACTGAACCAGACATTGCGGATGCTACGTTAGTGACTGAAATCGCCGCCAGTTTACAAATTGTTGGTGACCAAGACATGGAAGGAACCAGAAGAGGGAGCAGTGTTTCAGAATCAACTGACTTATGAACTGTTGGATGCTAAATGTTTTTTATAATGTGAAAATGTGTACAGGTGCCATGTTTACTAGGAATGACTTCATTTAAACTGGAGTGCGCATTTCCTTGTCTGAACTTCAAACAAAAATTGGCACTAGATGCATGCATCATTATCTGTTGCTCTCTGGTTTTCATGCCAAAGTACCACCTCTATGTGGGCAAAGCGATGATGCACTGCTGGCTCATGCCTAGCAACCTTGGCAAAATGCCAATACATCTTTGTGCACATTCAGTTCAAACTTAGTCTGCATACCCCACTTCATGTACATGTGAACCAGTGTTCATGCACACCAGTCACAAAATCTTGAGTTGTTATTTGTCACATACCGGTGCATGTTTTAAAGTCTACTTTTTCAGCTTGAGAAGGAATCCAAAGTGTACTTACATTCATGTTCTTTCTCAGCAGAATCCAGTCCAGACCAAAGCATGAATGTTTGAAATCAACCTTTATGTCGTACCAACAAAGTAATGCAGTAACAGGTACCGGAATGTTATTACATGTCGTTGACGTTGCATTCTGTTTGTGTTGGCAATGCAGTATGTCTTTGAACTGGTCTTTTTATTATTGTCATTTCTAATACCTTTCTATCATTGTGTGTTGTCAGTACTCATGGGCTAAAAGCAGTTTGTTTAAACACCATACTCTGAATCTGATCAATCTGTTGCTTACAAGTGCTTTAGCTTTGACATAGTACTCGACAGAAAGTACTCCAAATATACTAGTACCTGTCACAGTACTTCATTATGCTGTATAGCATTTAATTCGGAGTGATCAAATCAATGAACAGTTTTAAAATATGTAGGTTATTGAAAACGTTAATTTCAATATTGTATATTGTCTGGTTCAGTTAATTTAGTTCAAGAGGATCCCAACGAATGCTGTTGTGCATTGGGGTGTTTTGCAATATATAGAAGACCAAATAACATGCACATGTAGTAGGGAAAGTTTGTTTGAAACTATGATTTACTTTAGTTTGATAACTCAGATCAAATAATTTTAGTTGATGGTGGCAAGTCTAGTCCGGTCCACTAGTCTGGATCAGCCTACCAAAGGTTGCTCGCATCACTGGTTACTACAGTAGCCACATATATCAAAATGCACAGCAGGGAGCCAGGACCACAAAGTTATATGATAATGACTGGCTCTGTGCTTCAACTGAAGATGCCCACACATTGGTACACAAAGTACATGTAGATGTATATCATGAACTGGTACCTTGCAGTCAACAAGTTATCTTTGATTCAACCCGTTCATGGGTGGACCATTTTTCCTGTATGTTCATGTACATTATTAAAGCGCATACATAAAGTTGGTTTTTCATCTATAAATAGATTTGATTTACTGCAGGTAGGTTTTCCAGAATGTATGTGGGTATGCAGCAGTTAACTATGAGGCTTTATGGGCAGGGTTGAAATTTGCCTGACATAGTGTCATGAAATTCAAGCCAATTGGGATAATATCCATCTGCTGTTGCAGTGGCATTGACCAGTGAATTTTGAGAATTCAACTGAGCTGGGTGATACTTTATGTTTTAAAAAGTACTTTTTGCATGAGATCACAAAGGCTAAATAATTGAGGTCTATTTCATTTCATGCCACAAAGCCAAAATGCATGTATTGTGTGATACGAGTGTAACACTAAAACAGCTCACCCTGTGTTATAACACCATCATATAGACTTCAGTTAAATATGTCAATGTACAGGTGTTTGGAATTCGATGCGCTGCTTGTTTTATAAATATGCACTTTATGCTTGTATCTTTTAGCACAAATTGCAGCCATTCGGGTAGTGTACTCCGTTAAGCTACATGTACGTGTGTTTAATTTCACAAGGTATTTTTATGAGTATTGCCCGACCATGTGCAACGTGTTGAAGGAAGGTTGTTGACAAAATGACAGAAACCAGAACTGAAATTTTCCAGTGAATTCAAGACTGTTTGGTGCAATTTCTTCTTTTATTGAATTTTTTTTAATCTTGTGATCACATAGATCACAAGGTCGGGCAGATCACTTTTGATACTTCACAGCAGAAAATCCACAAGTTATAACCTTTGGAAGCACAATTTACTTTTTAATATGTAAAATACCATGTGAGATAAGTAGTTGGAACATTCACATAATTTTACAAAGGTACTAAAGGTTGAAGATGTATAAGTGCATGAAACTCATTAATTAGCATATAAAATAATGCATGAAATTCATTAATAGCATACATGTATATTGACGTATCAAGTCACAGTTATATATGCTTTCAAAATTTTATTATAATTAAAAACTTTTTTTGTAGAATTACATCTGAACAGTTTAAGAGGTATCCCAACATAACTTTGTATGGTTTGGGACCGCTTTCTGTTTCACCACAGTTCATCAGGGCTGTGAAAATTGTTAAAATGGTCTTTCACCATTTCTGTAACCCGCCTATTCAACTGAATGCATCAATACTGTACTCACTGCGCTAACGTAGAAGCCCCAAAGTAGGCCTATGCATTCTGTACACAGCCATAGAATGTGGTAATTTGGACTCACCACATCATATACATGTAGTGTATTGACTTTTGCTACAGTTTGTTCTGATGCCAGTACATTTACCAGCATTGAGTTAGTTTGTGGGGTTGTGTAATGTTCATATTTGTTGAGGTAAGAACCCAAAGCATTACACTGTATGCTCGTAAGCAGTATCAAGTAGAGTAAGCGTCAATTTTCTGGAAGTAATATGTTAAGAGAGACGCCATTTCAGAGAAAGTGTCTGACCACCCTTGTGCACACTCTCCACCCTGGAAGAAGCAGCAAGCATAGTCTCAACAAGGACAAAGAGGCACCCCCCCTGTAAAAAACAAAATTGCAAACAAGAAGCCCTGATATTAAATTAAATTCAAGTTTTCTACCATTTTGTTCATCTGCTGGAAGAGATAAATTGTGGAAATGTGTATTTTAGCAGGTTCATTTCTCTGTTTATGTTCTCTGTTTTAACATCAGATATAGTGGTGCAGTTTGGTACACATGCTTGAGTTCAGTAGCCATGTTACACCCCAACTATGGCTATGACCACACCTCTAGTTGGGGGGTCCCAAGTATGGTCCATGTAAAGTTAGGAGAGAGGCCATAGTTTGGGTGTAATAGCCATGATGAAGACAGACAAATCAAAGATCAAACATTTTAAGTTGCACATTGTAAAGAACCCTGGTTTCAAGGGCCAGTACAATTCAGTTCTTTGAAAATGCCATTGAGTACTTGATTTTCATTTTTGTTCAGTGAGTAAATTTGGAGCTCACAATTCGAACAGAATTCCTTCTAATGAACAGTGCCTTCCTGTAGTGACATTACAGCAACAGCGCCCTCATTTGTCCAAAAAATTGGGAGTGACGTCAAAATAGTTTTCTTAAGTCTTAAAGGAGTAAAAAAATTGCACAAAATAAGAATCACATCATAGACTCTTTAAAACCGCCCTCAAGATGTGCCTTCTAACAGTCACTGTTTTACAAATTTTGTATTTTAATGTTTATACCATCCAGGTTTATTTCAAAACTTGTGGATGTTTGAACAAAATGAGCAGACACAGTCCTGTTAAATCTTTGTATGCCGAAAACAGAACATTTACAGTGCATGTTTTGAATTGGTAAAGTAATTTGATCCTGTTATTCATAGCCGACCAATATTGGTGGAAACATTAGCCTCATGAAATAAACGTAATGTAAAACTCTCATCCTGATAACGTTTGCATGAGACTGACTCCGCATTAAAGGCTTCATGAAATGTTTACTGGCGTAACTCCCTTTTTATGTTGATATCCTTGGGTGCCCAAAATTGCCATCAAAAACTTCACACTGTAGGCAAGGATTATATATCAGCCCAAACTGTATGACCGCAACTATTTTATGACTTGTTAAAATTAAGTCAGCAGTGTCGATCGAGTCTCGTCTGTACTTGTACAAAAATCACTTGAATTGATGCAAAAATCTGTTACGGAACGACGTGATTTTTGCACTTTTTTCACCATACATGACAGGTTGGAAAAATTTCGCAATCTTTCCCACTTTATTACGACTTACTGATGATGAAGAAAACAATTTGCCCCTATTTAGATGTGAAAATTGACCGTGTCAATCATGCTAAGTGTCCTTGCAATCTGTGGTTGCCTGTACATTTGAATTAAGAATTGGGAACATGAAGGATCTGTTATAAAAGTTGGAACAAGGATGTCGTGAACGCCCCTGAGAACCCGTGACGAAGTGCCGTGGCGACAATGCTGGCCTAAAAAGTCATGCAGTACACACATGTACATGTATTAACACTGATGGTTGAGCTTGGTGGTGCTGTCCATTGCAAATATGAATGCTGATGTGATTTCTTTATGGAAAGCCTTGTCATTTGAAGTAGAAATTTTTCATAAATCCACACTTTAATATCGACTAAACAAATGAACTGCTTGTCAATTAGTATTTGCTAAGCTAGATATATGATTAACCGAAATAACGCACTTAGGCTTACACTAGCTGTACCCAAACTCAGGCTGCTACCCTTTATAAAAAACAATATTATCAAACAGACACAAGATGGATTTTGGAGTATTACATAAATTAGATATTTATTGTAGAATTAATTTGAAACTGTTTAATATGGTCGATTTTTTTCCAGAATGTTTCCAAGCAACATGTACACGAAGACCTCTACTTATACTCACTGTTCGGGTAAGAGGTGATGTATTTCAGTTTAGATCAGAAAGTTCATGCATGTTGCGGAGTAATAAGTCGGCCGGGTGCAGTTGCGACAAAGAGGCAAGTCCCTTCGACTTGCGTGTATTAATAATAACTGGGTTAAATTCGCTCCGAGGGACAACAGGTAAGGTTTTTTTTTGTTTGTTTGTTGGGGTGTTTGTTGGGTTGTTTGTTTGTTTTGCTTCACCTGAGTTCATCAACTTTTTCAGCATTTCCCAAGCGCTCAAAACAGTGTGTGTTCTCCCCCTTCCAGAAAGGGTACGTAAAAATGGGTGGAGATTATGAAAACCGAACCACTGTTCTTTTTCTATACCAGGCAAGATATGGGACGGAGGGGTACCCGGTAACCCCCTTACCTGTCCCATG